CGTCGTTGGTTCTCTCCTCCTGTGATTCTTACCCCAGGGCATCACTCCCTCCTGCGGCTTAATACTTTGTCTTTTCTCTCTCTTTCCTCCTTACTCCAGATTTCTCTGTCGTGCACAATTTGTCTATATTCAGTCTCTCGAGTGATGGGAAGTTATTCAGGACCCACCAGTCCCGACAGCGTGTCTATTCTTGACACCGGCATCCATAAAATCAATGGAGATTGAATCTCCCGGCTGGTTTGGAATAGGCAAGGGTCTGAGAAGACCTAAAGGGGCAAGCGTAGTAGTCTTGTTCCTCTGGCAAACTTTGCAACTGCGAACATACTCTATGCAGTCAGCTTTCATTCCTGGCCAAGTATACGCACGCATCAAGATTGGCTAAAGTCTTTTACCAACCAAAATGTCCCTCTGTGTCATGGCATTCCCCTAGGATCACACTATGGATCTCCTCGCTGTTGGGGATGCATAGGCGGTCTACTACATTAGTCTTCTCAAGCAGTAGTCCCTCAGTAGTGCGGTAGTCTAGTTCGGTCTCCGGGGCCTCTTTAACTCTCTTGAGGAGGTCACTATAGATAGGGTCCTGCGCATACGCCTGTCTGACTTTCTCTTGCAGGTCCTTCCCTATATCCAGATAGTGTACTATAGCTCCAAAGTAGTCCGATCTCCTACTTAGAGCATCCGCAACTACATTGAACTTGCCTTTGACCGGTTTGAGCTCAAAGTCATACTGGTCTATCTCAGCGGCCCACCTAGTCAACTTAGGTGTCATTTTGGCCTGGGTCTTTAACCATCTAAGAGTTTCGTGGTCTAAGTATACTTTGAAGTGCCTCCCAAGCAGATAATGCTTCCAGTGCTATAAAGCCTGCCTGAGAGCGTATAGTTCTCTCTCGTACGCCGAGGTGGCTACCTTCTCTGAGGGCATCCTCGCTGACATGAACTCTACGGGTCTATAGCCATTGCCGCCGTCTTGCTGCAACACGGCGCCTATACCATACTGACTCGCGTCTGTGGTGACGACAAATGGCAAAGACGGATCAGCTACTTTGAGGACAGGGCACTCTATCAATGTGCGCTTTAACTTGTTTAGCGCAGATGTACAGTCTTTGTCCCATTGCCAAATTGCCTCTTTCCTTAGCAACCTGCGCAAGGGAGCGGCGATAGTGGAGAAGTTCCTCACGAACTTCCTATAGTAGTTAGCGAGGCCTAGGAACGACCGCAACTCAGTCAACGTGCGGGGCGTCGGCCAATCTCTAATTGCCGCTATCTTGTTGTCCTCTGGCTTAATGCCATCTCCGTCTAATACGTGGCCCAAGTACAAGACTTATGTCTTGGCCCACTCACACTTCTTTGCGTTGATCTTGAAGTTAGCCTCTCTTAGCTTCTCCAAGACCTGCCTCAAATGACCCTGATGCTCTTGGAGGGTCTTGCTGAAGACTAATATATCATCTAGATAAACTATTACAAACTTATCTAACCACGGTCTGAACAGATCATTCATACAACGCTGAAAGGTGGCTGGCGCGTTGGTTAGTCCAAAGGGCATCACTATGAACTCATAATGCCCATATCTAGTCCGGAACGCAGTCTTGTACTGGTCATCAGGATGGACCTCTATCTAATGATACCCGGACTTCAAATCTATCTTACAAAAATACTTGCAACCCTGCACCCGATCTAAAAGATCGTCTATCCTAGGCAGCGGTTCAACATTCTTCACAGTAATCGCATTCAAACCCCTATAGTCTATACACATACGAAGCTCTCCTTCCTTCTTGGGAACAAACAGGACTGGTGCTCCAAAAGGAGACGAACTGGGCCTGATCCAACCTTTCTCGAGGAACTCGTCTAACTGCTTGCGTAGCTCCTCTAACTCTCTAGGGGACATCTTGTAGACTGCTCCCTTAGGAGTCCTACGGCCAGGCTCTATCTCTATCCTATGCTGGATGGGTCGCGACACTACTCCTTTCGGCGACTCAGTCAAATCTTTGAATTCATCCAGTAGCTTGGCAATGGTTGGGTCTGTGGAACTATCTCCTTCCTTAGCCTCAGTGACAAGCCTCACATATACTACGAAGACCTGATCCTCTAACTGCTCCTTTTCACCAGTCGCGCGAACGCGGGAGCACTGAGACAACAATGTGCCAAGGTGTTATCTACACCTGACACATGAAACAGGCGGGCAGTCTTAATCTCGCCTGACGAACTAGGGAGCCTACACTCATGCTCTCTTAAGTGGAGTGTGGCCCCTGCTGCCTCTCCCCAATCCATTCCTAACACTATGTCAAAAGGAAGGTCATCCTGTACGAGGAGAGTCAGGGAATGGAGAACTTTCTCCACCTTCCCATCTTTCTCTAGGCGAAAGTACGCTTGAACTCCCTCTACGTAGTCCTCAACTCGCATCGTGCGGTTGTCTGCGAGGACACTGACTATGGGGTTTGCCAACTTTTGGACTTTTGATCCTAGCCTCAGCTTCTTCAGCGCCCTACGACTAATGTAACTACGGGTAGCCCCTGAGTCTATAAGGGCCCCTACTCTGCTTCTAAACACTTCTACATCTACCAAGATCAGTTGTCCCTTACTCTCCTTCTTCATTTTGGCCCAGGCTGGCATCCTCTCCTTCAGCTCTTCTGCCACATCTGTGAGGGACGTGCCTAGAGAGACGCTAACGCAAGCAGTCTCTGGACAGCTATCTAGGCACGGGCCTGCAACCTCTGCCATAGGCTCATGTGGTTTGGGAGTTTCCTGTGTGCGCGCGTTCGCTTCCCCACATGGCCTTAAAGTAGGGGCAGTTGCGACCCCTACTGGCGGCTGCCTTTTGACTGGTGAGCAGCCCATCGGGCCTGTCTGTACTGAGGACAAAATTTAATTACGTGAGCCGGGTCACCACAAAACACGCACTGACCCAAGTTCACGCGTTCCTGCCATATGCGCTGGTCCAAGCCCAAGTCTTCCCAGGGCCTGCCCTGTGGCAAGCCTGGGTGCCATCCTCCTTGAGGTGACCTTCCACCTCGTCGCTGTGGGGACCGACAAGAACCTTGATGATTTGGCGGGGGACCTTGACCCCTACCTCCCACTTGGCGGTTCCCTTGTCCGCCAACCCCCTGTGCGCCCGGTCCTCGGCCTCCCATGGCCTGGCCCCTTTGGCCCTGGCCTCCTCCTCTACCTTGCGGCCTCCCTGCAGCCGCGATAGCAGCATAGGACCTCCCCTGCCCCACGCTACCGTCCTCCTCCTCAAGGCCCCACTCGATTTGACTATATGGGACCTCATTTGTACCGCCCTCCTCTAAGGTAAGGATCATGTGATCCTTGGCCCTGACTTGGCCAGAGATGGTACGACCCTTCCACTTTTTTCCTTTGTCCAAGTCCTTATGCCAGAAAGTGGAAACTGGCATGGACTTTGACTCGAACAGGACGACTTCCCTACTCAACACATCATACGTGATGCCGGCCTGTTGAGACTTGTCAAAGAAGTGCCCACGCAGGGGCTCTGGCATGGCACGATAAAACAACTGGACCAGTTGGGTCTCAGTGACCCCATGGTTGGGATGGCTACTAAGTCGTCCATGAAGCCCTTGAGTGCTCTGGCACTCCTCCACTGTCGCGAGTGGTTCGTTTGCAACTTGTCAGAGGCCCTGACGCCTCTCGTTGGATCAGGAGCTTGAAGAATTGAGGAAGGGGGGTGATTTTAGAGTATGCAACCAGGTTGTTTTCACAACCGGCTGCGCGCGCGAGGGACCTTGCAAAACTAGCTGCCTCATCCTTAAGGGCCTGGAAGGCCACGAGGACTTGCTCCTCAGTCAGGATGTGTTGTAGATACACGTAGTTGCTAACGCTCGCCTCCCAATTATCGAAAATTTCCTCCTTTTTTCCCTCGTATGCATCTGGGAATTTAAGCTTAACGGGGTCCTTGCGGGGCCTAGCCTCGCTCTCTACAGCAGCTACTGCTTTGGCACCTTCAATGGCGCCCTCATAGAACTTCCCCACGTTGTCCCTCAACCGTCTGACTTCTCCTCCAACGTGGATGACCATATCGCGCACGAAGTCTCTAAATCCTGAGCGCATGGCACTTAGGGCCACATCCTGATCCCTATTTGCTTGGCGCTCCTCCAACCAGGCCGCACTCAACACTTCCAGATATCCCAACATCTTGCCCATTTTGGCAGAGATGTCGGGCTGCGCCCGGACCTCTTGTCGACAATCTCTTACCTTTGCCACCTCCTCAGTCAACCTATTAACTTCGTCCCTCCTCCTCTTCTTTTCCCTCTTCATCCTCAACCAACTTCTTCTCTTCCTCCTTTTCTCGCCGTTCCAAAGGGTCCTCCATTGTCGCTAGCTCTTGTGCTAACCCATCCCTCTCGTCCTGGGGCAAATATAACTCTGCCTCCTCATCTTCCCCCAACGATAAATTAGCAATCCACTCGCTAATCTTTTTCTCCATCTCTGCGTCTTAATCCGTCTTCGTGCCACTACTCTCCTCCCTACTTTCAATACGTTTTCTTTCCTTTCCTTCTTCTGCTGCTGCTTCCTCTTCGGCAGCCTTTCTCCTCTCTTCCTCCTCCTGGTGAACTCTCTTCATCTCCTCCTCCAGTTTCTTCATCTTCGCCGCCTGCTCCTCTGCGATTGCCTTCAGCTTCGCCTGCTTCAGGAGCTCTTTTCTCTCCTTGTTTTCTCTCACTAAGGCGGCCATCTTTAAATCCTGAGCGCATGGCACTTAGGGCCACATCCTGATCCCTATTTGCTTGGCGCTCCTCCAACCAGGCCGCACTCAACACTTCCAGATATCCCAACATCTTGCCCATTTTGGCAGAGATGTCGGGCTGCGCCCGGACCTCTTGTCGACAATCTCTTACCTTTGCCACCTCCTCAGTCAACCTATTAACTTCGTCCCTCCTCCTCTTCTTTTCCCTCTTCATCCTCAACCAACTTCTTCTCTTCCTCCTTTTCTCGCCGTTCCAAAGGGTCCTCCATTGTCGCTAGCTCTTGTGCTAACCCATCCCTCTCGTCCTGGGGCAAATATAACTCTGCCTCCTCATCTTCCCCCAACGATAAATTAGCAATCCACTCGCTAATCTTTTTCTCCATCTCTGCGTCTTAATCCGTCTTCGTGCCACTACTCTCCTCCCTACTTTCAATACGTTTTCTTTCCTTTCCTTCTTCTGCTGCTGCTTCCTCTTCGGCAGCCTTTCTCCTCTCTTCCTCCTCCTGGTGAACTCTCTTCATCTCCTCCTCCAGTTTCTTCATCTTCGCCGCCTGCTCCTCTGCGATTGCCTTCAGCTTCGCCTGCTTCAGGAGCTCTTTTCTCTCCTTGTTTTCTCTCACTAAGGCGGCCATCTTTTCTTGCTGCTCTCGAGTATAAGGGCTAGTACTCGTCCCACTACGGGTCTCAACCATGGTGATCAGTGCACAACCGAATTGACGGTTCCAAACCTCACCACGTAGACTCTAACCCCTGACTGACAAACCTATTGACTTAATCTAAGACTCACAGTATCCGGACAGGGATCCTGTCAACTAGGTTCTCTAGCCTGGACCTATACTATGGCTGTCACTACTAGACCTGTTGCTGATCAGGAGGCATTTAAGGAGATCCCCCGTAACTCCTCAGGAATTATTTAACGTCGCAGACAGGACGACGCGATCAGCAGGTCTCTCAACACTTAGACGGCCTGTTGTGCAGCCCACAACTCGGATTTTGGGCCTACCGTGCCACACCGAGCAGCCCGCCGGTTAGTACCGGTCCTTGGGAGGGTTAGGCCTTCGGGACAGTCGAGTCGTCAAACACAGTTTTTAGCCCTACTCATCCTTCATCCACAGAGTACTATCACCTAGACAGAAGAGACTCAATGCAGAAAGAAGAGACAGACAGACTGGACTCAGCAAGTACCACAGGGTGTGTGCACATCCATAGGGCGAGGGATAGGCTGAAGGCTTGGCGAGATTTTATCGGCTCCAGCTTGGTCAAAGTCTTGGTCAACGCCGGTCAACGCTGCGGTCAACTCCCGGTCAACCCCCGGTCAAGTCCGGTCAACGCCGGTCAACACCTCCGGTCAACGCCGGTCAACACCTTCGGTCAACTCTCCCGGTCAACCCTTCGGTCAGCCATGGCTGCCGGCTTCTCTTTCCCTCACCAAACTTCTCCTTCCCTTCACCTTTTTGGCCTCCTTTCACCCCGGCTGTCTCTCTTCTTCCTTCTCTTTTTTTTTTTTTTTTTTTTGATCGTCTCCCTCTTTGCCTCCTCGGCCATGGCTTCTCTCTCCTTTCTCAATCTCCCCTTCTGTCCGGTCCCTCTCCCTCCTTCATTACTCCGTGGTCAAACTTCCGCAGCTATGGCCGCCATCTCCTTCTTTGTGGAACTGCACAACAACTTCACAGGTACGTAACAGCCAAACTTGTATCGCTCATCTCTCTCTCTCTCTCTCTCTCTCTCTCTCTCTCTCTCTCTCTCTC